TTAAGCTTCCTCTTCTCCCATTCCAAAAGATGGCTGCCACCTAGCTGTAACAAGCATGTTTTGCCATTTTACATTTTTTGACCATTTGTGAACATTCATGGGAGATCCACGTTGCTTGAGCAGGAAGTACTTTCTACTTGTATTTATGATATTATTTGTTTTTCCGCTAAATTCACTGTACCCCCCCCCCCCCAGTTTTGTGTTCAACTTGTGTTAATGTTTCTTTTTTCCATTTTGCTAGAGATCCACTGAGGATGGGAAAAATGTTTCCCGAAAGTTAACTTTGGAAAATTATTAAAACTTTTGTGGAGATTATTTCCTTTACCATACTAAAACTGAAGAAATAATAATAATAAATTCAACCGACTTATAACAACATCCTAGCCGTGATATAGAGGAAGAACCTTATCAGAGCGTTTTTCTATCGGGACCCGTCTTGGAGGGTTCGAGTGGTCGTAAACTCACCTGTCCCCCTTTAAGCGGACAATAGGTGCTCAGCGCGCAGCTAGCGAAAGCCTACCACGCAGAGACTGTCCGAAGAAGACCGATTTACGACTTTACACTGCATTAGCTACAGATCAGTTGCCTCGCTTAGTGATCCCGTCCACCCAACCCCCCCACTCGCCGTAGATGGCTGGTTGGTTGCTAGAGATTCCGGGCGCGCCAACTAACAAGGTCATTAGTCCCGTATGTGTAGTGCATGTTTCCCCGGTGTTCGGAAGATTGCGATGGTCTTCCCTCGCTGGATGGCGAGATGCGCCGTCGACCTACCGTCGTCTAGCGGGGTTTTCGCCCACCAGCGGGACACAGCCGCAGCCAGGACGAGCTCTAAGCTCCCGACCACTCTCCCACCCGACAAGGAAGAGGTAGGAAAGAACGCGCGCGGCCCGTTTGGTTGGGTACTACTCCGACATTCGACTGGCAATGATCGGAGAAACCACGGAAAACTACCGATCGGAGCAGCCGGTCGCCAGAATTCTCTTCTCTTCGCCCGGCAATTATTAAAATAAAAATAACACTTACAATCCTTTCCAACAAAAAATTGCACACCACTTCAAATTCTGCGAAATTTATGCAGAGTAAATTGAATGTCAAAACACAGCCTGTTCACAAAAAAATCTTTGTTGAGATAAAAGGCAGTAACAAGTCCACAAATTTTGTTTAAATTATAACACAAATTGACAGTTGTATCGCAATTTTTCCCCAGAACATATTCGTATGGCTTGGTACATTTCTGAAATAACAAAATTGTTTAAATCTCAACAGTTTGTGTCATTCTAGTGAAACTTTATAGCTTAAGCTATATTCAATTGAATTATCACAGAATGAACTTTCTGGACTAGTACAACTAGATTGCCCAGGTTATGATGTAGAAGGAGAAAGTTGCAAAAATTGTTAAGACCTCTTTACGCCTTATACCAATATGGATGTAATTGGAATAATATTGATCAATTTTTGATTAAAAATGAATTAAGAAGGATTAAATCAGATAGTTGTGTGTATGTGGGGGAAACTAACGAATTATTAGTGTTGTATGTAGACAAGTGCTTATTACTTGTAAACAATAGAGAAAACAGAAGAGGTAAAAGAAAAGATAATGAAAACCCAGAGACAGTACATATAAAAATTGTTTAAACAATACGGAATGGCAGAATGTAGAACTAAGGACACCTTCAGATCCTAGTATTATAGTGAAAAAAGATGATTGCACTATGAGTGATAGAGAAAAGGAGGAAATGAAAACTATTTCTTTCCATTAGTATTAGATTGTAGCATTTATTTATTTGGCATTGGGTACCAGACCAGATATTTTACATGCAGTTGTGAAAACTGACAATTCGATACAAATCCAGGTATGCTGCATTGGATGTATGCTAAGAGTTTTAAGATATTTATCACATACAAGACACTATACTTAACTAATTAATTTTGTATTAACAATTTTCAGTGATCACGATTGGGGAAGCAATAATGATAGATGCACTATAATAGTGGCACAGTAGTGATTCCGTGTGAAAATCCTGTAATTTGACCTGAGAGGCCAGTTGTTATTTTTATCGACTGCTCTTAGTACCAAATAATTAAACGATATATTAACTGAAGTTGTTGGGAACAAATACAATATTAACGATTCTTTAGAATTTGTCAATAGAATACAAAACATAACTTTACCTGATGATTACTACATAGTTTTCTTAGATATTCGTTTATTATTTACTAATATACCTATGCAATTAGCCCTAGACATTATTTTTGAAGAATGGGGCAAGATTAAGCTACATTGCAACATGAATAAAGCTGAATTTATAGAAAATGTTCAAATTGTATTGCCAAGAAAGACATTTCATCTATAACAACCAGACCTCTCTTATGGTGGTGTGATGGGTTCACCTTGAGCACCTATCATTGTCAGCCAACAGTCATGCATAAATATTAGATGAAAAACTTAAAAAGATATTGACTTTCACATTCCCATAAGTATGAAGAAGACTTTTTCCTAACCACACCCAAAAACAAAGAAGACAATACTAAATTTATTCAATGCATACCACCACAAGCTTAAATTCACTATAGCATATGAAATAAGGCAAAAAAATATCCTTTCTAATCACTCATTAATTAGAAATAAAAATGGTACCAACAAAACTGATATAGAAAAGCAATTAGGTCTGACATACATCCTTATTTTAATTCTCATCACCACTGAGTCAGAAAATCAATACTGCACCAGGCCTTAAACATTGAGCCCTTAATTTGAGCAGTCCAGAATTTCACAAAAAGAACCTACAAAGTGTAAAAAATATCCTCATCAAATATTAATTTCCTTATAAGAGTATATTTCATTAATAATAAATATAATGATAACAGTAATCACAATATCGCAAACAACAATAACCAACAGAGAAACAAAAAAGAGTTTAGGTCCATCACAACAACGGTCTTTCAGAACCATTAGGAAAAACTTTAGACAATAACATCAAAATCACCTTCAAAAATCATAAAAACCTTGGAAGATTGGTAATCAGCAACACCAAAGACAAAATAGGCACAATGGAGAAAAAAACAACCTTGTGTACAATGTCCCATGCAGTGACTTGTGATCATTAGCATATACTGGACAGAGCAAACAAACATTTAAGAAACGAATTGCACAGCCCAAAAATGATATAAAGAGCTCCCTGCGAAGAGGCAGAATCTGAAGCTACAAACTTTCGGTTAATAAGACTATCATTAATTCAAAGTCGTTCGAGTGTGCAGGATTATGCTAGACAAATTTAACCAATGCCAAATGAAGTGTGCCATTCAGTTTCAGACGATGCAAGAAGAAGCAGTGAAGATAATTAATGATTTTAAACAAGGACAGGTTAGCAACAACGCAGTTCATCCATGGATTGTGACCCAAAATCAAATTAATTATTGAAGCACGAGGCCCTAAATCTGAGAGAGTAGTAGTCAATTCAGCCCCATAAAAACATCACGAGAGATTTCAGAACAACTACATCAACGAGCCCAAAATATTAATTATTTTACTAATGCAACACACCAAAAGGGAGCAACAGCAACAGCAGTGGCAGCAGTGACCGAGAAAAAAACTTCACAATAATTATCATCAGTAAAGAGAGAACCACGACATAGAAACTAGGCTCAAAAAATTTGTGTGCTGCAATTACAGGCGCAAAGGCAACCACTATGACTCGCAAAGCCCAAGAACCTGCGAACGAGTCAATCTCGTAAAGAAAGCAATGCCCTCACGACTGATTTGAATTTGCCCTGTGGAGAAAAGCACAATACCAAAGCCATTGAATGTATTCGAACATTTTAAACCTTCCACTTACTCCCAAGAAAGGACTTATTTCAGACAGCCTTTTACGGAAAAAGGAGTAATATCGAACCACAAAACCAAGGGGAGAGTTTTCACCATGCAAGAGTAAAAACCATTCCATGGAAGACGAGTTGCTGCTAGAAAGTGTTCGGTTTCAGGACCTGCAAGTTCAAGAAGCTGAATCACTGTGGAGCATCATCAAGTAAGTACCCTGATATATTCACACTTCCTGGCGACACACTGCCTGCTACTAACATGACGATCCACTGTATTGATACTACGGACTAACTACCAGTTAATATTAAACTTTTTCATCAAGAGGAAATTGAGAAACAAACACAAAAAATTCTGTTCAAGAAAATAATTCAACCTACCATCTCACTGTTTAATTCTCCATAGAGAGTAGTACTAAAGAAAACGGACGCTTCTAGTGAAAAGAAATGGCAAGTAATTGTAGATTTTCATGAAATAAATAAAAATACTCCATTAGATGTGTATCCATTACCAAACATCTAGACGATTTTAGAACAACTAGAAAGGTACTCTATTTCTCAGCCTTCAACTTAGCTACTAGCTTTCATCAAATAACAATGGAACCGGATTGCTGGGAAAAGACTGCATTTAGCACTCCTGGAGAACATTTTGGGTACATCAGAATGCCATTTGGTCTACAAAATGAGGGAAACGCATTCCATTGAATGACTGACCAAGCAGGTATCTCCCACCAGCGGGCATCGCTCCAGCCGGGAGAAGCTCTTAGCTCCTGACGTGACTCTCGGTATGTGTGGTAGTGTAGTGCGTGTGTGTAAGGGGTGAGGATAGGACAAGGAAGAGGAAGGCGAGATCGTGCGCGGTCTGTTGCCCGTTTGTTAGGGTACTGCTCCGCCGAATCCGTTCGGTCGTCAATCATTTGCTGCGTCCCTTCACTCTCATGTCAAGTTGGAATAATCTATGACCTAGTCCTAGATCTTGACCTAATCCTAGACCTTGAGACCCAATCTGGCCTCAATATATATAATGTATACACGAAAGCCTAGTAATTCCTAGACGCCTGATGGGAATCCGCAGATATCATGCTCTTCGCTTGGTGTTGATTGGAAAAACCATGGAAAACTACCGATCAGAGCAGCCGGCCGCTAGAATTCTCCTCCAGACAGCAACTGCGTTCAATCTAGTTAAGCTAATGTCCAAATTCCTGCCACCGTCAGGACTTGAACGGTGAAGTGACTTCCAGTCAGAGGGACTGCAATGACATCAGTTGATGCCTTGTGCCATCTCAACATGGTCAACAAGGTTGTTTACAAAAATGACGGGAAAACAGAAAACCTTGAGACTGACAGAACAAACAGCTAAGTTTGTTAAATTGTACAGGGAGTCGGAAATTCTATGGAAAGTTTTTCTGCCCAACTATAAGAGCAGAAACGCCAGGAATGCAAGCACTTCAAACTCTTTCAAACCAAATGGATATTGACAACTTATCAAAAGTGGATGTAATAAAATAAAAACTTAATGCAACACATGTCATTTAAAAGTGGGAAAAATTTCAAAAAGTTGGAAGTGGTTCAGGTGCATACATAAGCCAAATGATTCATAGTTTTCTAACAAGGAGTACAACTAAGAAGAGCTGCTGAAAAGTATGGAGTTACAAAAAGCATGTTAAAGAATAGAATTCATGGGCATCATGCTTAGAGACTAGGTCATCCTAATGTTTTAACAGATGAACAATTCGTTCTTTAAGCACTACTGGTCTGCTCTGACTGGGGTTATCTTTCGATGGTAATGATCTTTCCTACCTCGTGAAAGCATTCTTTCATCTCTCTGGTCAGACAGTAAGCATTTTTAAAAACAACCTGTCCGGTCCTGATCGGCAGAAAGGTTTCATCAGTGATATGGCAGAGAATATCGACCAATGTATCTAAATCTCAGGCTAATCTTTCTACAGACAGTGTGCAGAAGTACTTCAATAACTTGAAGACTACAATTAATGGTGTGCATCCATTATGTGGACTATGAGTCAAAGGAAATGTGGAATATGTGGACACTCAGTGGACCTAAATGGGATTATCAGTTGTACAGCAGCAAATGTTGCAAGGCAGGAACAAGATATGGAAAGACACTGCATGGATGGTTTGTTCATAAAACATGAAGATTGGTTTCCAAGGACTATGCGCCTCGGAGGATATAATTTGAAAATTAAATGGGAACGAGGACAAAACTACATCGACACACGTTTTTGAAAAACCATGGTCAATGCATGGAATAGTCTATGACCGTAGAATATCAATGAAATGCCAATGAAGTCATTTTGTTAGGCACAACATAGTTTGATAGATTTATGTTTGAGATATGAATTACTGAAGTATTGATTTTTCTGGTAATTTTATAAAACATTTCTGGTAACAATATCAAACATACAATTGTTAAGATACGTGAATATCCGGTTTTCGCTGCTCCATAAACAAATAAATAAATTTTGATAATATTGATGTAAACTTTTTTTTTTTTTTTTTTTACTCTCAGACAATGCTATATAATTCTGCCATCATATTTATTAAGTGCAACAACTGAGTATAGTTGTTTCTGTATTCTTCTGTTGCATTCTGCCATCATATTTATTAAAGTATAGTTCTTTACTATACTTTAATTTTTGATCCCTTACTGTAATTTTTATTAATGAATTACTTCCTTATTATTGTAATACTCGTTTTATTAACTGTAGGACTCAGTAGATCAAGAGGCTATTCCACATTGATGTTCCGAGAAATTCAGGGTATTGCTAGCCCTTTTATTTTTATTCATAATTCATCTATATTAATTCTTTATGTATGGGATTATCCTGTTAATAAGTAACTAAATAAAATAAATACGTTTATTTTGACCTAAGAGTGTATAATTCAAGATTAAAAACACTTTGTGGAACCAACTGAAAATTTCTTCACAGGTCACAAGACTGAAGAGGCTTGCCAACGCCAAGAATAGTTTTTTCCTCTGTCAAACTGAAGCGATTCATATTAAGCATAAAGAATGATATTTTTACTTATATATAGTAAATGTATTCAAGTTCCACTGTGAAACTTCATTGTTAGAACCTTGGGTAAAATAATTGTCAATGTGGTTATTCAGCAATGGAACAAATACATAAATGATGATGACAACTATAATAGTTTCTCAAATTCCAAACTCTTTAGCATAATTCCAGCAATAGTAATGACTGTAATTCAATTGAAGTCATTAAACTATCGATTATCTCGTTTCTTTAGGTAAAGGTATACAATTACATTCATAAGAACTCTGGCAACTTTTGTCAGTATGTAACACAGCCAATTCTTATTTCTCATTACTTGCCAGAAATTATTTAAACTTAAAACAGCTGGTAATTCAATTCAAAAACACAATAAAGCAAAACAATAAAATAGAGATCTAAGTTTGTTTCCAGGCTAATGATGTTTGACTCATCAAAAAATAGACTGCCCTAGCTGGGAATCAATCTCACCAGATTTACTAACATTTGGTCCATCAAGGTGGCCACTCATTTTCTGAAAGAAATTTCCCTGACTTTTCCAGAGTATTTAAAAAAAATTTACATTGACCATTCCATTTGTGAAATTAAAACCAATAGTGTTTAACTATACATAAAAAAATACCCCAATCAGGACGGTGTATCTCAAGAAGTTAATTGCTTTTTCTATCCAATTTGTCATACCGCTTCTCCTTTCTGGGCAATCATAAACTGTGACATCATGTGACTCATCTATCATAGGAGGCAGTATACATAGATTGCTATGTCAATGTCCAATAAACCGCCAATGTATTAGAGCATAACATCTTTGATTTTAACATTTTCATATTTGGTTAATTTTTGAAACTCTGTTGGACACAATTTCACTCGTGGAATAGACCTATTAAATACCATGCATGCTTTGGAAATTCTTGGATAAATCCATTTATTTATTTATCCATCAACAATTTCCAAAGCACTGGTGGTATTACCTATGACAAGATTTGTAGAGCATTTTGCACTATTTATTGAGTTTTAAAACTGTCTAAAAATTTTCCCTGATGATTCTTCCACATCTTCCCTGATTTCCCAACTTTTCCAGAGCAATGAAATTTCTTGTTTTTTCGCAGTTTTCTAAGTAAGTGGCCACCCTGTCTATAAATAATTATATACAAAAAATTGATGTACGTTGTTGACCAGACTCGTTTGGAAACCCTAAAAATATAAAAAACAGGACCAACATGCATTGAAGTTGTTCAACAGCAATAAGTATTGCTGGAATACCAGTTTTCATTTTAGTTTAACTCATTTTCACATTAACAAAGAAATGAACTGAAAAGTACTGCACAGAAAGATAAAAGCCTCCTTTGTCATCAAATAACTAACAGGCATAATGAAGTAATGCAAGTGTTTGGGTAATCCAATTCCCATTAGGAAGGAAGCCATTGTATGGCAATGAATTCTTTGCTACTAAGACTACAAAAAAACAAATATCTACATGACTAGCACACCTCAGTTGAACACTGGTCCATCAACCACAAGGAAGCCAATGCCCAGGAAGATAAACTCGGAAAGAAGTTACTTGACACCATCTGTGGTTCCACCTGGAAAGATAAACTGATCACTTATTCAGCACACCGAACTTCCAAAAAAAATATCTGTCTGCTAATAAAATAAAACAAAAATTTACTTGAAATCAATCATCAACTTGAGCACTATACTAACCACATTGAAGATGAGTTTATCACTTTGTTCGAACTATCTTGCAGAAGTAAAGAGGTCCAAAATTGCAAGGAAGAAATGGAAGTACTAAATGACCATACCTAAGGCCAATATTATCTCCAAATTTGAAAACTGACTTTGCACCTTGAAGAGCGGGAGACAAATCTCTGCAATATATACATTCAAATATAAGATAATAAACATAAAAACAAGATATTAAATTAATGAAAAATTACTTTTCATTTTCCACTTTTCTAGTATTTTACTTTAATTTTATAAACTTCAAATACATGTATCCAAGATAAACTCCAAACGTGTCTAATATTTACAAATTGCCTCAGAAATTTGAAGTTTTGTAATAATCAGGGAACAGATTTTCATGCAATTATATTTTGCATGAATAGGATACCTGTATTCAATAATATATTTTAGTTTATAAGACATTCTGAATGAATTAGCACAATTTTTACTTTACATAGTTTTACATGTTTTGGTGTAATTACACATATTTACTTAATTCACCTATTACTACACATTTCATTACATTTTAATATATTTATGCATCTAACTGGGAACAAAGCAATTAATTGTCAAATGGACAGCTGACATTAAGTTGATTTTACTTTACACCAAAAATTGCATTTAAAGAGTCTTATTTTCTCTTTTAAGAAGTTAGACATTTGAATTTATAGGTTATTGTATTTGTAAATTTGCTACATTATATTATTGGAAAATTTACATTTAATATAAGGTTTGCTTTAATACCAGACATTACATAATTTTAAGTAATGACGCTGTCTAACTTCTTACTTTGCACTTTGCTAACCTCAACATCACGCATAATCAATTGTAGAGAAATAACTGCTTCAAGGTGCGAATATACAAAAAAATGAATTACCTCACTTCCACTTCCACCTTTGTCTCCTCCCATATCTTCTGTAATGCCATGTGCACTACTCCATCATTCTGGATAGGTGACAAAGAGCATGTGGAATAGACTACTGTACCCCCTGGTTTCACCAGCTTCAGTGCATTCCTACAAAGAAACAAGATTTTTCTTTTTTCTTTCTTTTTTCTCTCTTAATTCAAATTTCTTTGTGTTAGAGTATTCATCAAAAGAAGTAAAAACACAATTAATCTGTTAACACTTTTACAGCAGTTTTTGAGAAATGTACTTTAGTTTGAAAATGTTGTATCAACACTGTGTTCCTGTAACCTCAGATTGTAGACTAATAAGTAAGATCCGCAAGCCGGAGCCCTATTTATCACCACCCGCAGTCAGCAGAAACAATCGATCATTCCTCATCCCTTAGTATCCTTTCTGTCTTCGTAGCCAAATAGGCTGTGGATTCCCTTATTTTGAAACCTTTGTACCACGTTAACTGTTGTGAACGACAAGAGAAATATAGAGAGAAAAAGAGAGTAGGGGTGGGGTTTACTATAGTAAATGGCAGTAATAGTTAACTATTGGACATACTGAAGTAGACCTGCAGACTTTTATATGCCACATACACTTGCTTTTCCTTCAGTCTAAATGTGAATATCGTAATAAAACAGAGGTTCAGTTGCATAGGCAAGTATAATGAGAAAATGGCTTGTAAAGATTGATCAGTAAATTCACGTTTTATTGCTTGCAGCCTACTTTAAAAAGTTTTATACGTTTTTTTTTAACAATTTATTTTAATCCATTTTAGATGTTTCGATCCTTGATGGGATTTTTTAATCTAAGCCCAGGAGTGTAAAATATTCAGGAGTTAAAAAATTTAATTTCATTGAAATATCGAAGATTAAACTTTTTTTTAAAAAAAACAAAAAAAAAAAAAAAGTCAATGGGATAAAACATGTAATGAATACTACTAGCCAACTGGGAGTTTTCAAATTTAACTTACAAAAGACCAATGAAAAACAAAATCCACACCTGCATGTACAAACATTCCAACACAAGTTCTCAAAACTGTTTATGTTATATTAATGTACACATCTAAATCTGAGAAACGCTCTGAAACAAATTTTGATTTGAGAAGGCAAATTACCAAACATCACAAAATTCATTGGACATAAAAATTTACCATAAAGACAATCTTAAAAACAAAACAAAGTTCTACCTACATCAAAAGTTGTGATTGTAACTCTGGCAAACGTAACCTCTCCTTCAATCTTGCAACATTGAATATGCTGTTATCATCTTCATGCAACGAATGTCTATCTGTGGTGCATGGCACATCTACCAAAACCTAAAAAGAAATGATTATTAAAGACAGGTTACATGTATTCCATAAAAAAAATTAATTGCAATAGTTCAGGCAGAATTCTTAAGGACACTTAACATTCTTAAAGTGACCAATTTACAATAGAACTCATTCTCAAATACACAAACCTATGAGCAACTACTCAAATTCTGTAAGAGAGCCCCTGTTCCCTTAAGCATTCCTGTTTGGGCCTCCTCTTAAATAATTTAGATTATAAATAGTGGCTTAGCGACCATGGCTGTTAGTGATGCGTTCCATCCCTTCATTATTCACTGGTTTATATGATTTCTGATCTTCACAGTACACGTTTCTCACTTTCTCTGTGCAAAAATGCACTGTCCTTTCTTCATATGCTTCAGACCACTGTATTGATTACAATATCTGGCTTTGTAAAACTGTGGTTTCGCGTAATAGAGCTGCATCTGTTCCCTATGCTCTATTCTGCTGCAAAGCTAATGACCTTCTAGAAAGTTGCATATTGTGGATGAATCACACGACTGATGTGATTCAACTGAAGCATCTGGTATACAAGGCCTCAGCTCCAATAATTTCATCGGTCATTAAGTTCGTTTCATCTTTCATTGTCATTAGTCTTTTATTGTCATTAAGTTCAAATTTTTGAGAATTAGGGTCAATTGGGACTTTTACGATTCAGAAAAGCAAATTTTCTCCACATCTTCTATACCAGTTGTAGCAAACACATGAAAAAAATGCACATGTGCCTTTTGTTGCTAAAGATGTTTACAAAGTAAAAAGTAACTAAAGATGTACCATAACTGTTTAAAAAATTAAGTGTGTATCAAAGTAGTCCCCATATGATGGGGCTAATACAATATATTGATGGAGCTAAAGTGCTACAGCTTAATTGCTCTGAGTTTTTATTATCAATAATATTGGATATCAATAAATATACAATTGCATCTGAGCACCACATCTTAGTAAGTAATGAAGGTAAACAGTGTTTTATTGACAAACTATATGCTGCTTTGTATTCCATTCCCTACTCGACCTTGCAGGAGACAACTGATTATGACCTTACACTGCATTCAGTAACAGGTGTTGCAAATATGGAAAATTATTACACGATTTCACAGAATACATTGAATTCAATTTGCACATCACCATACAATAACATAAAACAGAGTTGTGAATAATCAATTTATCCATTGAAAGAGAACAATGGACAACAATTTTCAAAAGCACTCAAGTCAAATTAGATACTCTTCATACAAAAATTATTGACTATGTACACACTGTAGCTACACACAACTATTACACAGCTGGTGCGAATGACATTTGTCATATTTAAATTACTTGAGGAACGACATTTATATAAACATTATGAAATGAGAATCTCCGAAAGTGACTACTTACTTCAAACACTTATTCACACTATGCAAAAGTTATGCATGATTTTTATTGTTTTTAAAGCATAGTTTTATGTCAGCATTCAAGTTTCTTGACAAGGAAATTCAAAGTAAAAACCCTGATCCCAACCTACTACACTTAATCTGCAAATATAAGATAACCCCATGTTTTAACAATGAGATTATTAGGAAAAAAATATTACATGTGAAATTTAACCAAATATAGTACATTATAACTGTTTAGGGATAGACTATGAACTTGATGTACATTACAATTCATTGTATTGGGCCACATAGCCAGCTGTTTATAACAAATAAAATTACTACATTACATTTTCCATTGGTATCAATAATACAATTCACTGAAGTTTCATTCATAATCACAAACTTGTGAACACTAGGAAAACACTGATGATATAATACAAAAATTTAAACTGCAAGAGAGTATGTGGATCTGTGGGTACATGTGCAAGCACAAAGGAAATTTTGAGGGGGAGGTCATGTGCATTTGTGCACGCTTTCCTCTTTGGTTTATGTCATTTTTTAAAGTATAAAAAGGTTTATTCTGGCAGCCCCAGGCACATAACAACTGCTTGAATGTAAAAAAAATAATCACCACCTTGTCAAACATGCTTTCTTGTTCGATTCCTCTTCCATCAGACTTTGTCACTTCAATCTGATCTTTCCATTTGGGGAGGTCATATAAATATTGGTTCAAAACTGAATGAATTCTTTTGGTTCTCGATTCCTGAACGTCATTGCACACCAAACGACCTGAAACAACATTAGCAATTTGTCAAATTTTTACTAGTTATAGGCAGAATTGAAAAATTAACCCAGAATTAAATAGTGAAATAAATACAAGTCATTCCACACAAAAACCATACGAACATTTAATGAAAATTAGTTTTGCTCTTATTTTTTAAACATGGAATGACATGCAAGGATTTGTGAAGATCTTCAATTTGCATAATTGTTTATTTTCAAGCTACTTCAGAAGCACAATACATGCCTCCTCAAACCTTCATTGCATGTCACATTCTTCATTTAAATCTGTGAATTACTTTTTGGTTTTCTATCTGGTTAGCAGCAAAATATTTCGGCATTGGTAATTATATATGTTGAGCGAAGTCAGTCGTTCACTGTTAACATTTACACCTCAAAAAAATTAGAAGACTTAATGTAATCTTCCTCCTATTTATACACACATTTTACTGTTCTATACACTAACATGGCCTCCAGCCACAACTTTACTAGATGAAGATA